TACCTAGAGCAAGTTATGGAAGGACTGAGGTTTCCAGAGAAGTTCATCAAATAGGTAATGAACTGTATCAAAACAGTTAATTAGTATATTCAACTCAATGGAGAATCAGTTGCACCATTTAATGCAGCCAAAGGCTTGAGATAAGGAGATCATATGTCTCATTTTCTCTTTGTCATTGCCATGGAGTACTTGAGTCGATTACTTAAAGACCTATAATATGAGAAAAGCTATAAATTCTATCCAAGGTGTAGAAGGTTGGGGATCACTCACCTAAGCTTTGCTGATGATCTGTTGCTATTTTCTAGAGGAGACAGTGAATCTGTGTAGAGACTTCATGCATGTTTTACTGCTTTCTTAGCAGCCTCAAGCTTGCAAGCTAACTTAACCAAAAGTATAGTCTGTTGTGGGGTAATGGCACATAGGGAGAATGAGGATATAGTTCAACTTCTAGGTTACTCAGTAGGTGAACTTCATTTTAAATACCTAGGGGTACCTCTAGACACTAAGAAGCTCACCATGGTACAATGTCAACCCCTCATAGCAAAAATTGTGGCTAAAATCTCTTCATGGACTGCAAAGAAGCTATCATATGCTGGGAGAATTCAATTGATTCAAACAATGTTATTTGGAATCCAATATTATTGGGCTCAACTCTTCCCTATACCAGCTAAGGTGAAACAAATAGTTGAAGCCCATTGCAGAAGCTACTTATGGTCTGGGGTGATATAATTACAAAGAAGGCCCTTATTGCTTGGGAAAAGATATGCCTGCCTAAGTCTAGATGGGGGGCTTAACTTGCATAATCTCCAGGTATAAAACAATGCTGCAATTGCAAAAATACACTGGGATTTGACTCATAAGCAGGATAAACTTTGGATAAAATGGATCCATGCCTACATCAAGGATTAGAGTTTGAGAACTATGACCATTCCACAAACCTATAGTTGGATGGTTAGAAAAATCTTGGGGGCAAGAGATACCATTGGGCAGCTGAGCAGACCCATTGTTGAACATAAGAGTGTCATTAAACAAATATACTTACAACTGATACCAGAATACCCAAAGGTAAGGTGGAGAAAACTAATTTTTCAGAACTTTGTAAGACCAAAAGCCTTATTCACAATGTGGCTACAATGTCAGGACAAACTTCTAACAATGGATAGATTGTTGATATGGGGCCTTGATGTATAAGTTGTACGTGCAATGTATCAAGCTCACAATGAAACAAGAAACCATTTATTTACTGAATGCAGATATGCTCAGGCAATTTGGAACAGAGTCAGCAAATGGGCGCAACAACAACTCTATGGTGGAAGTAACTGGGAACTACAATTCCAAGAGATTGTTAAAAGTATACAAGGGAAGACAACAAAGGCCAAACTCATTAAGATGATACATGTTAAAGTTATATATGCCATATGGAAGGAGAGGTATGCAAGAGTGTTTGAATGGGTGGCCAGAGATTGTGAAGGAGTGAAAAAAGATATAGCGTGTGTTTGTAGCTGCAGGGCTACTGGAGAGCTGAAATGCTTAATGCAAAAGCTAGTTTTCTAAGTTTCTTCCTTAATTTACACATAGCACTGTTGTATAGGAAAGCTAGGATCTTTGATTAAGTTTTTTTTTTTTTTTGAGATTAGCTGGCTGAGTTGTACTAAGCTAATGATTTGTAATTGCTTTGGTGATTAATAAAAAGCCTAATTAATTACCAAAAATAGGAAGAAGGAAGTGAAAAACTCGTAGAAGAATTCTCCGCCTTGCTCTTAGTGTGTTCTTACCTCCTTAGGTCGAATCGCCTCTCAAAAATGTCCAACCTCTTCTTAGACATGTTTAGGGAGTATTTATAGGCTAGGGTTGAAGTCCTTGAGTCTAAATCCAAGTCAAAGTCTTTTAATTCGTGAACTTTTGACCGCCGGGCTACAGACCTTGCGAGGCCAGGCTTATAGCTCGGCCAACCTAGATACAGAGCTGGCTACGCCAGGCCTGTAGCGTGGTCAAGCTGGCTACAGAGCTGGCTACACTTGGCCTGTATTCAGACCTGGGTACTTTGTGTTTTTGTGCTTTTTTTTTTTTTAGCATTTTCATCCTCTTTTCGTGCAACTTTCATTCGACTCTTTCTTCTGATGCTCCTACACATAAAATAACATAATTTAGCTCAAATGTAGCACAATTAATTACTAAACCAACAAAAGATAGGGCGAATAACATCATTGGTCTTAGCTGAATTTTCTCGTAATTGGTGGTATATTTAATAAATGAACTCTGTCTCTTCGCCCTTTTAGCTACTTCTTCGTATCTCTTCTTCTTCACCAAGAACACCATAATTATTCAATTTTAGAAGCTTCAAATTCTTGTTTGGGTTAGAAATTCAAAGTTTATAGTTAATTACTGTTAAAATTATTTGATTTTTTATGCTTAATTTTTAGTTTAAACACTGATTTCGTGATTTACTTTAAGAATCTCAAAACTCCATTGTTGGTCATTAGAAAGTATTGAAGAAGACAAGGTGAGTCTTCTTGATGTGGTATTATTTGACTAAATAGGTGATTGAGAATCATTTGGAGGCTTTGTTTCAAATCTAAGATCATTTAAAGTAGATTAGGGGTGGTTTGATCAAAATTGGAATTGCAAATTCAAAGAATATTTCGTTGAACAACGCAAAAAAATTATGCTAAACGGATAGACTTTGATGAACAATTTAATAGATAGATTGTAAATATCACAAAATTATGCCAATTTTGTAGAGTTCGGTGAATAATTGAACAAGCACAAAATCGTGCCAACAATTAACAATGTAGGTAGAGTAAATATAGTATAGACTCGAGAAATCCCTGAAGAGTTGCACGGGTCCATAGGTTATTTTTCAAATATATTCAAAAATAATAACAATATTTAAAGATCAACACCTTATAGGGTCATCCGTGTCAATCACCCAATCAAGTTTAACTCTGGGCTTCTTTTATTTTTGGGATTTTTTCCTTCCTATACAATATTTGAAAATTATATACAAAAATTGTCCTAATTTTTTATATTACCCGTCTTAAATAAGGATTACTTACAAATTATATACATTCCATTATTAGTGTCTTAAATTAGGGGATTTAGTTACACAATTTTCCTTTTTTCTCTTCTCCCCTCTTTCCCTATTCTCTTTCTCTCTATAAATATATACAATTCATTAGTAATGCCTTAAATTAGGGGATTTAGTTAAACCATTTTTCTTGAAAAAATTGAGAAAATATTGGAGAACATTACATCATGGATAACTTAGACAATTATAGGCAAGCATGATTCGTTTCGAAACAAGGAACACTTGGATTTAAATCATTTTTCTTTCAAAGATGTTACTTAATTAGTTTCGGCCACGTAAAAAATTTTAACTTTTAATAAGGAAAAATTCCTCTTACCCTATGTTGTACGTAAAAGTTTTTAACTTTTACTAAGAAGGAAAAATTCATCTTTCTCTATGTTGTTTTTTAGCTGCGTTTTAAGGTAATTTCAACTGATTTTCCATGATTTTTGTAAGCTCTTTGTACTGTTTTCGAACAGATTTTTTCGACTGCTGATGGGTGGTTTTGGGCTTGGTTTTAGGTGTAAAAGAGTGCGATTTGTCGACTGTTTTGTTGGGTTTAAAAGTGATTTAAGTGGCTGGTTTTTGTATTTGAACACGCGAGTCGAAATTAAGTAAAATATTCAATGCCTCCACCTCCGTCGATGTAGCACCAGCAACAACATCAATAAAAATTCGATAGTGATAAATTTGTATGGTACAACAACATACAAATTAAAAATAAAATTTCATACAAATTTAATACATCTACAATAATATATATACTAAAAATAAATTTTATACAACTAATTATATAATATACAACATATTAACAACTTATCGACAACTTTCATACATTACTTTTATCTAGTTAAATACATCTACAACATTATACAATTTAAATATAATTTTCATACAAATTTATACAATATGTCTTTTGTATGTATTTTGTATCTAATTTGTATATATTTTGTATGTGGTGTGTTTTTCTTCCTCTCTAAAATTCCAGTCAAAACTTCCTCTCTTAATACAATTTTGATACATACCAATAACTTTATGTAAAAAGATAGTATTTATAACTTAAATGCAAATTTCTTACAACGATTCATACATGATACAACTATTTTTCAACTTTCATACAACATTACAATAAAATAAAATATATAACTACAACATAATACAATTTACATACAATTTTAATACAAATTCGTAAGTATATTGTATGTCATGTGTTCTTCTTCTTCTTCTTCGATTTTCAATCTGAAATTCGACCAAAATCAAGTCTAATATTCACCAAACACCCTCAAAATTGACATACAAACTCCAAAAAATATTCTCAATTATTTCCAACAACACGCAATCCAAACAAATAATAATTTTTGAAAATCCAAATTCGAATTCAAAACTTCGAAGCTTTTTAATGGCTGTCAATGGTGGAGAATCAAACACCTTCAAAATTTATTGATTGACAATTTTAATGAACATCAAATTATGCAACATGAAAGGAAATTGCTAAGTTAAAACTCTATAGCAAAACGATTGAAATCCATTGTTGAATTCTATTAAAACTCTATACAACAAGAAAACATAAAAAATAAAGAATATCAAAGGAAGAAAAATTGGGGG